TGTCCTGCATACATCTCCGACGCCTGAAGCCTCTTTTTATATTCCTAGTACTGTAAGCTCCACTGATATTTCAACGAATTTTTTTGCATATGCTGGAAGTTTCATACCTGATGATAGTCATTAATCTATAATTATTCAACCTAATCACCACTTATCGCGGTTACAGCTTTAATTTGGGATTTAAAGCACTCACTAGTCATTTTCGAAATATGATTGCTTTATTCCGCGAATAACTTCTTGACAACAAACATAAACGATATTGGTAGGTGTGGACTCATTAATGGGTCGCTGAAAGACGCTACGTACTAAAAATTTTAGCGGAATTAAATTTTAGGCTGATAGCGGCCCAAGGTTCCCACCAATGCAAAAGATCAGAACTGCCAAGCAGAAAATATTACATTTCTACGTTTTTAAATAGACCGGTAAAAGTGCCCCTGATAAGCTTTACTTTATGTAACTGTCATTCAGTCAACTTCTTGATTCTTTCTAAAATAAGAGCTATATTAAATTATCGAGACACCAGTGCCGCCATATATGTATTTTGATGCATCTTTTCAAGCTTTAAAGCAATCCAAGTTTTTAGGGTAGTGTGACAATTTCTAACAAACTAACTGTCGATTTCCTGTAGCCAAAAAAGTATATAGCAGCATGCGAGGAACTTATATTCGATTTTTTAAGTGACGTGTTCCGAAATTTAGTTTCAAAGATTGAGATTACGTGTATATAATTGTGTTCGCTTACTGTTAGACCAAATCATACGCGGCATAAATAAATATGCAGTTTCTTGAGACTGCTTTTGAACCCCGCGTTTAGATGACGCCCTATATTCATGTTATCTTAATGCAGAAACTAGCTAACTTCAATTGTGGATTTGTTTCCTTAGTTTTGGATTTTTTTTAGATTTAACTAATCAGATGTTATAAAGAACGATTTGTTTTCGCGTTTCTTGATGTGACTTTTGAGTAACTTTTGTAGCCTCGTAGATCAATCTCGATAAAACTTGGAGGACAAAAATGCTTATTAAAAGCGCATTTACACACGAACGACAGTCTAGAAATATGCGCGTCTTGTCTCCTTCATATTGAAAAACAATCTGGAGACCGTTCTCTGCAAACTCATCGTACTTTCGAATATGATATTTCACTGACATGTAATTACGCTATCTTTTTTTTTCTACGTTTACAGATTATCTGCAGATTTTTTATTTATTCAGGATCTCCGCCTTTAAGTTTGTAGGATAACAGGCTATCATTAGCCAGGTTAGAGCTGTATCTGTGGGTATGGCAAAAACAGCTGTTTTTACTTTGACTCTGGATAATGTCCACAAGTCGAAGAGATCAGTCATTTTTCGTCACTCAGTTACCTTTGTAATATTCTGGTAACATTGTAATCCCATTATCGTAGAACTTTTGTGGTTTTTAAGCGAAAAGCTGCGACAAGCAATTTTTGTATCCGTCTATTAAAACTAAATTAGCACCACCAAGGTAGTTCTGAACAAACAGTTCCGAAACAAACAGTAGTCCGATAGTGTAAAATCTAGACCACACGGCAAATGCATCTAAACTTTCTATTCAGGTTCTTTCAATTTTTGCCAGGTAGTCCAGGGTATATATGGTCTATTATAGTAGGACGCGATGCCCCGTTCACTAGTTCCTGTTGACAGTTCTTTGTTGTAATCTTATTTATAGGAGAGGTCTTAATCAGTCGTTTTCACGTGGCAGCAGCTTCATTTCCAGTCGTCTCAAACACATAGCATGTCTTTTTAGACAAATTGTGAAGTTTTTGATCGCTTTGATCATTTTTTTTCGCATATTATGGATCATGGATGTTTAATTCTCTGATAATATTCTGGCTACTTGCATGTTGCTCCTGCTCAACTGTTGTAATATTTTCATAAATTTTTTTCATAAGTGGTTGGCCATTATAAGGAGCATCCTTTACTTAAAATTTGCAGGACGAAAGCGGCAGAACTATCTTTAGCCAGTTTCTTTCTATTACACATAAATTTGACCATAAACAACACAGTTTTTTTTAATGGGCCTGAGCAATATGTGTGCCTTCATCGTAATAAAATTGTAAAATTATTCTATTTTACAATTTTATTACCTCATTTATCTGCAAGGCGCTCTATATTAAGTTTAAATAAAGGATATAAAAAGATTCAGCGATTCTATATTATTATTATAAATATCCAGCTTTCAAATAACACCAACGACGATCGTACGTGATTTATGTTACCTAAGATGATTTCCAAGCCATCCATAGCTAGAATAATCGCCAATACTTTTTTGACTATCCAATATTCCAAGGAGTATTTCCTTTAAAAACAATTCAACGACAATTATAGACGTTTATTTTGGGTCTTAAAGTACAAATCGTTACTGTCGTAACATAAATACATAATAAGAACCGCTATATAGTTCAATTCAGCAATAAAAAGAATATAAGTCCTTTTTTTTTTAACTCGAATGCTTATAGGATGATCTAGCATAATGAAAAGCTAGCACGGAAATATACTTATTGCAAATAACGAGTTAAGAAAAAAAACTCATCGACTATTACTGTGTACGGAGTCATAATAAATTGTTCGAGTGTGTCGCACATAATTTTAGCTAGTTCTAGAACACAGCTGTTTAAAAAATACTTTCCATTTCCAGAAAAATTTTCCACTAAAATCGAATTCTCTAGTGCGACTGGATTAAATTGGCAATTTCTAAAACATCTCTTTTTAGGATCGCCAAGAAGTTTCCGAAGCAATTGTATAACAATATACGCAAAACTTTTAAAGGCGTAACCATTGCGAAGCGTATTTTTTATTCCGAAATTTGAAAAGTACAGAAATTTTAAGAAGCACAAAAATACACTCAGCGTGTACCATATAAATTGCCAATTGAGTGAAATATAAGATAATAAATCAATGATTCATTATCAACCCTTTCAACAAGGTTAATATGAGATTAAAAAAAAACGCAATTGGAGTAAATGCTTAAATACTCAAATACCCGAGATAACAATCTTTGAGATAAACAAACAACATCTACTATTTCGCTAACAAAAACATAAAAAAATTCTCAATAATTGTAACCATTTATAGCGTTTTATCTAGATCTGGGATATGTTACTAATCAGTGAATATAATCATAATACCAGTATCAAGATTACATTTCCATATTGGTGTTGTATGGTAAGCTTGATATTCATTAGCAAATATGATCCTGAAGCTTTCATTGTGAAATATATTAATTAAACAGAGCATATTTGAAATGCAATTTACGGCACTCGACTTGTAATGGAAAGCATAAACGCTGGCAAAAATAATTAATTCGCAAAGTATATGGCTTACTGTTTGAGTAACATTGTTATCCACTAACAGTATTGCTAAAAACAAAGCCAAGCGTGTTAATTGCCTTTAATTCTAATTATTGTGAAACTTATTAAGAATGATGGTCATTAGGGTCCCACCTGTCTCCTTCAACTGAAGCGCTGCACCCATAATCAAATCGTCGTTAGTAACTACAATGCCCTTTGCCACAAACACTTTATCGTGATCAGTTCCATTCTGAGCCAATAATCTCATACTTTGCTGCCTCATATACCGACTGATCAATTGATTCACAGGAGCCGCAGTCCGGCCTTTATCCAGTTCAGTGAGAACGACGTATGGGATGTACACTACGTAGGGTAATTCTTCACTTTCAATGACTGCGCGAATGAACGGAAGGGCCCCAACAAGAATAGATGTATCAGCCACAAGAAACGTCTCTTCGGAATTCGTCTCCATGGTACAGATGCTTCTGCTCACCGAACTCTATAGCAAAGAGGAAAACACTCATCGGGTTAGATGTATGTTGTCAAATATGATGACCTATAAGACCACCCTTTATTAAACTCCAACCATGGAATAAAGATGAAGATTGCCAGCATGAATTAACCTTAATTCTATTGCGATTCAGTATTGAGTGACGCTGCAAACACGTAATCTGATTACAGATTGGAAAATCTTTTCCCCAAAAAAAAACAAGAAAACCGGCTTTCTATCGGCTCAGTTTTTAATTTACGCTGCTCCTAATTTACCGCAGAATTGTTTTGTTTGAGAAGATTTTTTTTCACACATTAAAATCTTTAAAATGAGTAAAAATCGCTAGTACTAAGTTTATGTCGGTCTTATCGTTACATGTTTGAATTCCTATTATTCAATACGTATTGTATGCCGAAGAGAGAAAACATATTGTGTGTTTATTAACACACCTACACACAGCTTAGTTAATACACGGTCCTTAATCTCGTTCAGAACAACAGTTTTGAACTTGCCCAATCCCATTGTTGTGATGCTGAGTCTTTCATGAGCGCTGGGGCTTGCTGGCTTCAGGCCATACAATGTAGCACTAACTCAAAATATTCCTGTCGAAGCTAGTCGAACAATTGTCTCCCACCCCCTTGATTATCCCTGGAGTATATCTTTGCACGGTCACACACATACACATATACAGTTACGTATTTAATAGTATTGGAACTGAATCCTTATAATAGCGAATTGTACTCTTCGACCAACTGTTTTGCAGCACCTTTTCTTTATTACTTACAAACAGACTGAAATAGTTGCCAGACTAAATAAGTGGTACTTTAGGCGGTTTCGGGTATACACAGCTGCGACAGATAAATGAAACTCAGTAGCCAAGAGATTATTGCTCGAGAACAAAGATTAAAGGAATTCCCACGAAAGGCATCCTATAGAAATTGCATACTCGCGTCAAGTCAAACTGTAATTTTAGCTTTTAAAATAGTAACTTAACAATAACGTATGGTCACTACTATTATATCTCCTAGAAAATATCTTATGCAGCGCTATATATGCTCCCTGATTTTAAAATTAAAACTCTTAGTGATCTATTTAAAATTAGAAAAATTAAGTTCCAAAAATCACAAACCTACACAAATTAACCATGGCTGGTCATGCGGATAACAAATCTCATATGGGATTAATTTATGTACGTATTAGATAGATATCTAGGCTCTGACGAGTTTAAATCAAGCTACCACTAGAAATGAATCGTATGTGCATATGACTTACGTGTACATATACGCAAAACACACTTCCGCATCTCCAAAAATGATTTGTTTGTTACAATGAGCAATGTTGACACGGTTCATGAAACAACTGCGTTCAAAGCTATAGGTTCCACTTTCCATGTCGCTTTTCATCAGTTCTTTGGAACAGCCTTTCGAAACGATGCTCGCGCCGGGATGATTGTTTATCTCATGAAGCGGCTAGTAACAGAGAGAACATTAAGTAACGTAATTTCATCTAGGATTGAAAAGTAATATTCAGATTACAGACTTGAGAAACAAGCAACACTACTAAGTCTTGGACATTTCAGGACAAATTTGATTTATTTCATTTAGATTACATTTAGATTCGTATGCAGTATCCTGCAAGTGTTCACTTCGCTAATGTGCTCTTTGTTCAGGATTCCGTGCGTTGAATGTCTTGACGAATCACTGGTGTGCCTTTAGTGAATGTTTACCAACTTTCAGCTAATGGTTAGGTGTTGATTTCGCCATAGTTATGTCTTCATCGAACAGTGTTTCGTATAGGACATGAAATATTTGTGACGCATATGTGTCAAATTGTATGCCGAGAGACTTCTAAAAAAAATTCACAAGATTTTTACCTCGCATATTTGATTTCTATCTACTAAAAAACGCAATTGAAGCTTCCGCAGTAATATGCAGTCACACGGATGTCCAGAAAATGGGCCTATATTTGGTGAGACAAACGGCGTTTTAAACGTATATATATAAGCTTGATAAAGAAATAGAGATCCATACGCAATTCATATATATTACTGTGGAACTTTATTACAATCTAACAAATGGCTCGATGACGGAAGCGTTAGTGTGAATGATAAAATTTAGCTGTAAGTTAGAATCATATTCTTTGGGAAACCCGTCTACTTATCACTGGTCGCAAAAGAAACCGATCATATCGCAATACTAACATGTGATAACGTTTCTTTGAGTTAAATTTCGCTTTGTTGATATTAAACTTGGTAGTCCTTTAAAACTTGTGTGCCTACATTCCCCGCACGCTTCTGGCCAACTGGAATAAGCCTTGCACACTACCGGTTTAAAATGCATATCCACTGCTATTGCCGAATTCGGAAAAACAATATGAGATTACGAAAAGCCGCGAAATAATTCCTTAATGACATTTTAACCTTTTTCGGAAAAACCTAAAACTGACAGCAATGGTACATTGTGACTTTCGTTCTCCTAATGGAATATGGCCAAAAGTCAATGATGGAAATATATAAAGGCTTGCCTAAGTATTATTGCTTAGCTTTGCTGTTACGATTTTCGTTTAGCTTATGCCAGATTTGCTTATACATACAATAAAATAAAATATAACAAAATAAAATGAAAATATAAAGATATTTGCGAAAGTAGTCTTTATACAAAATACCAAAGCAGTAAGAAAATCAGCTATCATCTCCGTAGCTTAGCGGTGTCTTATTTTATTTAGGAAGTTAATATATTGAAAGAAATAACCTTTAAAACGATTAGCAGCAAAATAATATAGCCTACAAAGAAAAATTGGAGGCAGACATCAGTGCCGTGGCTTATGTCAGGCTTTTAGATGACAAAAAGAACATCTCAAAGCAGCTTTTAAAAGAAACCACACTGCTTCCGCAGCCTTTCACATATGCTCGTTCTTTTGGTACAGCACAGCTATAGTTCATCAGTCATAACGCTAAGGCTAGTATACAACAAGTGGAAACAGTTGTCCGTGCTAGCCTACGTTCAAAGTTGATAGATTAACTGCTACATTAAAGATCACTGCTAGGACTAATCGGTATGCGATACGAACGCGGATCACTACATTCCAACTGAAAATAGACAGGAACAGCAATAACCGAATATCCAATAAACTTCGCTTGGATTTCTATTTCTTCAGTTACGAATCAGTTAGGCCATAATACAAGCAAATGACAGCGCTTGCAAAAGACGTTGATTTATGCGTTTCGAACAACGGGTACAAGAATCAGTTAACTTAAGGGTTAATGCCCTCAAGACTCAGCAAGAGACCACGATATGATAGTAAGGTGTGCTGCAACTGTTATAAAGTTAGTTACAGCAGGGCCGAATCTTTCCTACGTACGGCTGTAACAGGTACTTAACGTGGGTTGTTCACAAGTGGCGCTGGAACTTCTCCCAGGATTTTTAAGCTCAGCAGTACGCTCACCAAGTTGGGACCTTTCTCCACTAGCAGGCGCCACCTAGCGAAGTATGACACTTTGTGGATATACCGCAGTGACGTAAGCAGCAAGAAGGCAGCAGGGCAGCGCCATTACAACGTATTTGATAGTCTCTTGAAAGCTCCCGCTGCGGATGACGCAGGACATCTATCTCGAGCATGGCCGCGTAAGGTAAACATCTAGGAAGTTATCTCAGGTGATGTCGACAACAATGAGATAGACACCGAGCGATAAATCAACTAACGCGAATCACGGCTAACACACACGAGAACGGATTTGATAATTTGCTATTTTGCATAAAAAAACTGGTTCGATAAGCTCGAGTCTAACGAATAGAGTTGACTCAGATCCATAAGTGAAGGTGAGGTTATTGTCGATGTAGACTTACCGACAGAAGTACGGAAACACAGACTGGGTTACTGTTGTTCACTTATTGTTATTATTATTATTACTCATGTGTTCGCTTCGACAATAAGCAAACTCGGCAAGACTCTAACGCCTCAGTTTGACGTCAAAAAAGTAGCTGGAAGCAGACCAGAAGTTTGTCACGTCAGATGGATGTTATCAGCCGACGGTCATATAATGGGGCTCGAGACCAGCAACGTTTTAAGCGGTGTCGATCTTAATCAAAGAGAGCGTTTAAAAAGACGTGGCTTTTGCAATTCTTAGCAATTATATTACTGCAAACGACGATTACAACAAAGTCAACCAACAGCAAGATGATCCCAATCACACAGTTAGCAAGTCCAACTTTTTTTTCCAGAGAATACATTTTTTTACTACTACATATACAGAATAGGTTTTGCTTAGCTAAGCATTCAGCCGAACTTGCGGCTGGAGAACTCGATTCATAGACGTGGGTGAAGTTGATAAAGAAGGCTTTTAGATCTAGCTGGACTTTTCTGACGTTTCGTAGAGAAACCCTCATGCCACTCCGTTCACTACTGTGTACAAAAGTAGGACTCGCTTCCATCGACGAGCGTAAAAGGATTTTTGGTGAGCCAAAGCAAGTTCTATCAAAAAAGCCCCAGTGCTTGTACATAGCTACCAAACGGGTACCACTGCACATCGATGCTAGAATAGTAGGGTAATACGCATTGTTATTGCATTACACAGAAGGGGTATTATTTGGAAGCTCGTTTATGCTATAAGTAGAGAGTTTACCTTTGCCGAGGCTAAATATCATTCTATTAAATATGAAACCAAATGAAAATAGCTCGTTTTCATACACCCAAATAATGACACGTTACATAGGCTGTAATAAACGGTTACGATGCCTATATGTGGAGGCATAAACTTCGCATTTTAACTAGCTCGCTGCGTTTCCTGTTGATACATGAACCAGTTTGTTCTTCTAGCTATCATAGAGATATGCATCACATTAAACCAAATCTCCAACTTTAGGTGTTAAGCCACCATATAACTTAAGCCCTTGCTATATCCGGTTATCATCTGCTGCAATAAAATTTCGCTTACTAAATGGTTCTCTAGACTAATATGCCGCAACTAAAAAAACCCTTTTCAGTAAATTCTGGTTTTACCGAAGCGGTGGGCAAGGCTGACTGGAAATAGTAGACATCCCATATTTTTATGAATGCTTCTGGAAATGTTGTGGCTTGTCTAAACCAAACGAAAAGTTAAAAAAGACTTTTTAGCTATAGAGTGATCAAGCATTTTTTGGATAACTTTCTCAAATATAGTAATATATTAAAACTACGGATAACTTACTAATAGTAAGGGTCCTTATTTCAATGCAATTCATTTCGTGCGGGCGGTTTCGCTTTCGTATCGATCTACAATGACACAGTTGAGGCGGTCCAATTAGAAAAATAAACAATGTCATTGGCTTACTTCCTCACGATTTGTTTAAATAGTTGAATTAAACTAAAACTGTAATCTTTATAACAGTTATGTAATGGTTCTATATACTGCCACTTACCCCTACTTGAATACGAGTTTGATAGAGATAATCAGATGGTTGTTGTGAATATTGAATAACGTAAGATTACCTATTATGTATTTCTTTCAGAGAATGCACCGGTTTCATTTGCTCTACTTACATCATTGGGCGTGCTCCGGACAGCGTGCTGGCTTCCTATTGACGTGGAACTTCTAGAATATAATGTAGATACAATTCTCAGCGGAGGTCAGGTATCTTGCATCGATGATTGTATGCACTTTGCATTTATATACTGCGTGACAATCGTTAACACACGAAGGTCTACATAAATTTTTATGTCGGCATACCTATAATGATTGTTATTTTGATTGCTCTTTGGACTTATTAGACATTGCTAACCGAATCGAAAAGACTGGTGTTAAGAGCCCTAGATAGAATGGTAACCTCCCCTGCCGGACAGAACTTCCTTCCAAATATCTAAGGTTCTTACACACAGTTTACATTTTGCTGCATTGGTCTGCTTGAAGTTGTGGAGAATTTTGACTTCGAAGTTATGCTTCCTCGAAAATCGAGATCTCTTTAGTTGTGCGATACTCATATTCTATTTCCGCGGCGTGGAGAGACGGCTAGGAACAGGACGGTTTACGGTAAGTTCAAGACAAAAGTACATTTAAATTTTTCTTAGATAACTTGTCGCAAAGGATGGAGAATCCACAAATTTGGTGCCATTTCTATTAGCTTATCGTATAAAAGCTTAATTCTGATTCAGATAAACACCTTCTGGTCTCATGGCTATAGCCCGTACACCATCCATCAAATCCGTCGTGTTGCGCTGGCTTAGCGAAGGGATGCCCTACGACAATCTTCGGTTAACTACCGAAGAGCTCTCGACACAAGCCTTTCTCGGGAATGTTACAAATAAAATTTGTTTTTTATCCCTTCCGTAATCATGCTCTTAAAATAATTCCTTACTAACCTCACATAATTTTCCTTCCAGAGTTTGCTTTTGGGTCATCTGATTCTCACGTGCGCCGTCGAATGGAGCATGATGAGTCTTCTTTCATTTTGGTTGCCCGACTATTTACCTAGTGTTGTGCCTTCAGGACCGTACGTATTTGCGATACTACTGCTGCAGTTACGTGGCCTGCGATCATATTTAGTTCATAACGTACAGTAAAAATGTAATATCATGGCTATCGCCTACCGATATTTAGTTGTTTAGCCTTATTTATAAAGCGATTTTAACTTTATATTAGTTTGAATAACAACGGCTGCAGTGAGTACAGCATGAATAGTTGTGAATAATTTTACCAACTATAATAAGTTATTAATGCCTGCCTTAATGTTTGATAACACGAAGTTTTCTGATGGAGATTTTTCTCCTTATCTAGCAGTAGTCCAGCTGTTCGCATTTGAACTGATGTCGAAATGGAGTTCGTAGAGAACAGTGCTAATTGGGCGAGTGTTTTTTTTTTTACTCTTGAGGGAACTCTACCTTTGTAATCTCAGGGGATTCGGTCAATGTGAATAACTCTAGCGCAAGATCCTCCTTCCAATGTCCTCTATGAAATACGTTTATATTAATGTAATTTTATAAAATAAGTCGTCTCATTAAATAACGTTTATATCGTCGTCGTATGACTTCAGCGCCTTCTCAGTTTAAACAGTGGCGATTTTGTACTTGTGTATACAAAGTACATACATGAAGTCGCCATTCTTTAGAGCGAGAAGACGCAGGGTATACACAACGATGACAAATAGGAGTGCGAAAGTATCGACATCGTTAGAGGCCCAGCGAGGGCACGCATTCGAGAGGGTGATTGCTGGATTACTTCTAGGGCGGGACCTAACCTGTTGCGACGCTCAGAAGGTGGCTTTCGTGTTCTTGGTCCCCCATTCTCTACTCTTGAGCTGGAATAGGCTGGACCAACAGCTAACCGATCTTCGAGTCGTTTCGACAGGTTTAATGGGCTGTGAGCCTCCTCGCTGCCATCAAATTGTGAACAACTATGTCGTTGGTCGGAGACTAACAATATATCGGCTAATACCTGGGGCTTTTACATTCTAACAGGCTTTGAGCTAGCATCTGTTTATCGCTTACATTGTTGGCCGTGAAAATTATTATGTACAATTTTACCGAGCTTTTACAGGCAAATTTATCCGCTATGAACAATTATAAAAAATTTGCTCCTATTCGCGGTGTTTATGTAGTTGAAAGAGTACGTATGATTTATGAATGAATTTATGATGAAGGCAAGCTTGCGCCTTTTTATACTTGTGGTTCACTCAGTAAATAAATTAAATTTATTTCACTTCGTCCAAGGTATTATTAAAACCTCTCATGTACGGAACTAGACCCTTCTAACCCTAATAGTTATAAAACAGGTTGAGCGGCGACAATCACCCGGTCCTAATTATATATAACGACTTGTTTATTATATTTATGTCATGTAAAATCGATACTTTATTTAGAATAACCGAAATGTGATTATTATAGGAGGCTTCTCTCTTGATCCATATAATACCAGAAGTGTCATAATTACTTTTCTTTAAAGTATTGGTATATGTAATATTTAAATTGTACATTGTTATGGCCGTGTTTCCCTACGCGAAGTTTTTTCGCAGTTTACCCTCTTTTGCAGTGGTTTATCGCAGAATTTCCCCCAGTGTCAAGATCTTCATCACAGCATCCGACCGCGGCAGCTTCCTCAGATTCTCCACTGGTTACCCCACTTCTGGTGATCACAATTGTTGCGATCGACCTTGTGTTCGCTCCCCCGAGGGCCTATTTCGCCGTCGGATGCGCGATGTTCGCAGGGGCACTTTTTAGGGAAAACTTCCTATGTCTAAGAAGGTAACCTTGAACTGTCACTTAAATGTATACATATGTTTACTACGGTTTTATTTTCATTGCGGTAAATGCTAAATTGCCTAGTAAATCGATGCTTTAGCGAGTGTTTGGTACGCGGTGATCTAAAAAAGTGTTTTTTAATGAAGAAGCACTCCTTCGGTAGATAGAGATGCGCGTATCATGGATGCAAGCATCAGGTACGATAACTGCTAATATTCTATCTACTCTGAGAGCAACTATCATGTATAAATTATAATCCCAATGTTAGTATTGGTATTATTGACATATAACATCCCTTTGGCATTTTAGTTTAATTCGTTTGCCGCGACGCCTGTTCCCATGGCGGCCATGTGAAGTATCCACGAGAAAAGTTGGTGCCACTTTAGAAGTACAGCGCACCATGCATGCAGAGTTCCTAGACCAACAGATGATTTACAATTCGGCAATTTTCGCCCAGCAGCATCATATTAGACAGGGGCTGGCAAGCGGCGCCACTCAGCGAAACATAATCATGCCACCTGAAGAACTGGTGAGTTTTAAAAATTAATCAGCTGACGCTGTACACTAGTCAAAAATATAATTATAGAGTATATATCTCTGGAGGTCGTATGACTGTTGATGCATGAAGTGCATACGCGATGAGTAGGTAAACTTTATGGTCATTTTATTATCCAGGTAACTCAATTGACGGAAATGGGCTTCGCTCGGGAGAATGCAGTAGAAGCGCTGCAGACAACAAACAACAACCTTCAAATGGCGACGAACATACTTCTCAGTCAATAATTGTTAAAATTTGTAATTATTGTTCGTGTAGTGTTAGAAGCTTGTTTTATGAAACGGGAATACTGCTCATAAAACCGAATTTTTTCGTTTTACTTGCAAATGTTGTCAAAAATAATATTACAGTAAACGTGCTAAATTTGCTGATTAATTGCAGCATTCTATGCTGCGTGCTATAGAGACACAATTTGAACTAAGTGAAGATGTCGTGAAGCAAGCAGAGGTTTAAGGCAGTATGGGACGTTATAGTTTTGTAAGTAGCAGGCCTACTTTGTTTAAATTTATTTGTAGAAATATTTAGGTTTGTCCATTTATGGGTCCTCCTTTATAAGTTGAATTTATGGCATATTCAAGCGCAATGTAATATATATAGTACATGTTATTTATAGAAAGATGTGAAGAGTATGGCATTAACATGTTGGCTAAATATGATAAAAAAAAATAAATGAATTCTAAACGTCGTATATAGATGTTTTTCCTATCGATAAAGTATAATTTAGTGCTCCAGTAGCGAAGGATTTTCGTCACCTTGAAATGCTTGAACCAACAGGTTCTGGCTTTCGCAGTGAGAGATCCACCCACTTCAGCCGATCTGTGCACTTCATACCAAGTAAGAGACCAAGCAAAAGCTAGATAAAAAGGTAGATAAGAGGCAAACTTGCATGGATAGAATGACGTAAGATATAATAGAGTGGCAAAAAGACAAGGCGACAAAAAAAGAAAAAAGGTTGTAGGAGAAATAATATAAAAACGTATATAAATATAAGTATATATAGCATGGTCTACTTGGTACCGGAATTGCGTCACTATGAGTTCTTATCTAATTTATACCAAAAGATATCTAATTGTATCTTACAAAAACGGATATTTTGTACATTTTACAAATGTCCCTTTTTGGGGGGTCAAATTTATTCGTATAACCACTATTTATCGCTATTGCATCTCCAATTCAGGGTTTAAACCGACCAATAGTCATACTTAAAACAGTCTTTTTTTTGGAAAACTTCACTATGAGAATATTACATTTCTCAACTTATGATTAGCCGAAGTAGTATTCGCAACGCACACCGAAATGGTCACTTGCATTGTCTATTTCAAGTTATTCTATAGATAAGACAACATTTTAATGCTTCACCTGCTCACTGTTCTGTGCATGTCAAATACCCAAGCTATAATGTCTGCTGTTTTGTACGCTATGTTAACATCATCGTCATCAGATCGAAGCACGCACTTATGCTACAATTGTAACAATGTAATGGCTTGTCGACGAACTTGGGGGTGCGATGAAGACGCTACTAGTTAATATAAGCAAAGAACAAAACATTTAAATGGTTATGCAAAGAAGTATCGCCAGCGCATAGATTTGAACCAGCTGTGCAGGAGCGCTAACCAGGGCAATCGAGTCACAAATGGGAAGCCAGAATAAGCACTTATTGCAATAAATGACAGAATTCATTCGTACTCACTCATCAAATAGTAGCACCGAGTTAGATAAAATAAAATGACCTTATGAAAACTGAGCACTTGGAGAATTACTTCTCATATGCTCTCTTTCCTGTCAAGCGAAGGTTATGCATAACGTCTGAATTAAATATTACTAAAGTAATTGCAGAGCCCATTAAGCGTCATGAAAAAACCTAGTATTAGCGTAAAAAGACCGAAAGAGATGACATCAGATTCAGAGTTATGAAAAACAATAAAATTGGTAGCATAAACCTCGAACAGTTAATGAGCCGTTAGCTTGTGAAAGGCTTAGGAAGAAATGTATGGCTATAAGTCTTGAAAATCGAACATCTGAAACAATGCCAAACACGTTCATTGATGGTATTAGATCTACCAGCTATAGCTTGCATTTCTATGACAGATTAACATGCTGTTTTTAAATAGTTGTCAGAGCATTAAACGAGACAAAAACGTTTTTAGAAGACTATTCTTTGTGCTTAGTACTTTAAAAAATCCTCATAAAAATTACTAAGAACCAAAGCGGATTAAGTGATGCTTCTACGAATTAAAGACGATTCGGGTAAATAATGGTGACAGTTTTGTGGGGACGCACGTTAGGTGGTTTTCATTTACAGGGTGATTTCTAATGTAATGCAACTTTTTTTAGTGTTTCTGTCCTACGCTGATCTTCATTAACACTATACACACATGCAGACACTGGTACGAAAACGCATCACCCATCTAAATGCTGGTCATCTGTGCACTTCTGTTTTGCAAACGTTCACTCCACCGCAGCCTATTTTTTCATACCCACTCATTTTTCGCATAGATCCTTTGAAGCGGACGTTCTACACGGGCTGCCGTTTCTGAAAAAAATATGCTAAACCTATTCGTAGAAAATAAGCTAAGATTACTTATTTTCTGTGGTCACGAAAAGCACTTCAATTTTCTGCCCAATTGCTTGCGCCGCCATTCCTTTGGTTGCAGCAAGCCATGGTTGGATCTTTTGGCAGCTGCCACCGATAAGCAAGCATTACACAATTTGTGTGACAGTAAATTCAAGTAGTCTACGTTTTGTTTCTACCCTACGCATTTTTTATCATCGCAAGCATAGGCGTGCATATTCATTACTTCGATTTCCTTTAACTTCGAAATGTTTTGTTTTAAATGATGTTTTAGGATTTCTATTTTTGTAGCGTTTCTTTTATTTCGCACCTGTTATCAATTATAATTTTTCAGTATAAACAAATATTTTCGACAATTTTTCTAAACAAACATTTATTTTTCATTTACTTCAAAGTGCACTAAGCGCGAAGCCTTGACCTGTGCTAAGCTTTTTTCAAGCGATTTTATTGTCTAAGTATAAGAATAAAAGACTCAACGGTTTTCTAGTCCTCATATGAATATCTGTATTATTTAGAGCTGGCTACAAGGAAAAAATTCTTTTAATAGAAAAATATTCCCGAATTATGGATTTACTCTGTGTTTGAAAAAATAAAATTATATTTTAAGAATGTGTGTATACTCAACAGTTTTTAATTTTATTATCGGTACGTCCGATCGGAGAGGCTAGTCAATGAAAGTATGGTAGCGCATGACGCCGCGTGGTGTCTCACACATTGCCTAGTAGAGAAATATGCAGACCCTGATAAATGAAAATCTATCATTTCGCGTATGATGTAAAACCTATATACTGAAAAACGTGTAACCATATGTCAGTTCATTTAACAATTTTAGAAACTAACAAAACAAAAGCTATATTATGGAATTTTACAAGGAAACTTCAAAAAATAGAAAAAGGAGTCAAGCTAAAACCCAATATGCTTATTCACTTTTTTAGTCATCAGCGAAACCCTTTAAAAAATAAACAACAAGACCTAGATTTTAAGCCAACTCAAGTAAATTTCAAAATTGAATATTTTCAGAACTTGGTATTTGCGACCGATCCTAATCCTGCTACAAAGCTATGATGAGCTACATCGGGTATTTGCAAATAACCAGCCAAGCTAGAAATGTTCCGAGTTCTCTAGGTTTACTTGTTTGTGTTCCTTGTATAAATTACTCGTTTATCGGTGTGTTGGAATATTTCGCCATTATTCTAATGTAAGATACGGTAGCTAATCTACTCACAATATGTAAATATGAAATAATAAAACGCAAATTCACCACTGAGCGTCATAGTTCCGTCATAGCGTTTATTTATTGACTCGAGCTTGCTTTACCAACGGATTCATTTTTTAATAACGCTTAGCGACGATAACCTTCTGGCTGAGGCCCGACACCAACAACGCGTAAACCATTGGACGGGTTTATGTCGAGTGCCTTAAGCATTTCACTTGTATCCAAGTCGATTTCAATCGTGTCTTGCTCAAGACACGATATTTCAGGAACGTAGTTGTCACGACGTTCCATCTCTTCTTCTTGCAATTTAATAGATATGCCGCGCACAGGGGCGCGCTCCAGGCGCTTCATCAGATGTGTCACATAACTGCGGAAAACACGAATGGAACACAATGGAACGCAAATTACATTCTGAAGGTTTTGCAACAGCTCCAATTTTTAACACAACTATAACACAAAATAGTCTGTTTTAAATTGATATTTGACGTTCTGACGTGCAACTTCAAAGCAAAACCAATTCCCATTAGGCCCATACATGCATGACATACTACAGCAATGATTCTTAAATAATTGTTAATCTAGGTTTTTAGAGCAAGTCGTCATAGGAAAAAATCACGCTTAATGATTACTTCGCCAGCCGAATTGGCGATTGTCGCCTCAAATTGTAACTTCGTTTTACTTGCTGATACACGCTTCTGTATATTGTCGAACAGAGAATAATGTTCTGAATAGTGAATGCGATGCTGCACTTTTATAGATCCTAATCGTTGACTGCAAGGAATTGTGTTGTCATAATTTTTGCGTGAAGTTAATAGGATTTTGCCAACAAAAGCCGCAAGATGTTGCTACTGAGAACTGTCAACAATCCTCTAATCATATATTCTCACAAGCAAATGTATTAACTGGATACACTTAAGCCGGTTGCTCCGCATAATACATTAAGTTCGTCCAAATCCATTGAGGCAGCTTAACTCAACCTACCCGGCAATCTTATTGCGGAGTGGCTTTGAAGGAATAGAGGCGATTTCTTCACAAACACGCTTGTTTGTATGGAACTCCAACGTTAACTTCGTGTAGTGCCAATTTATCATGACACGAGCCGTCTTCTTTACTGTCTTGGTCCGCACACGACCCATTGCTTGCACTGGTATTGCGAAACGTGACAAAAATGGCTCTAATTCCTGAATTTTCACATAAAACAACCCAAAACGTGGCTTTCCTGACTCCGACAAAGCGGAAAAAGACCTTTCGAAACCGGAACCAGTTGGTTGTTTGTTGTTCAGGAGCAGACAATGTCGACATTTTCGAAATTCTTCTACGCACAACGTTGAATAATAAATTGCAGTAATCTACATATATAATTCTAAGTTTATATATATATATATAAATTTCGAACGACACTGAATAAGTAAACCTATTTATTGAAATATTTTTTAATTATTTGAAGCATAGGTAGGAAATTTTTCGAAAAACGACTGCAAAGGCGGGCGTGTTTAAATGCCCTCTGTTAATTTTTCACACTTGTATGTTACGTAAGTTAAATCACTTATGTCACCGCTTTAAAATTATACTGTTACAAAAAAGATGATAGAGAATTGCAGTAAGTCACCCACAAGCATCCTTAGGCCTTGATTTTATATATGTATGGACTGCTGTTAATGACCATGAAAATGCCGTTAACACTACATTTAAGCAGCGCACCATGCCTCCAGCTGGTTATAAATTTGTATTGTTTATATTATACGCCATATTGTATTAGACTGCGTATCGAACAGGTGGCTCCAAGCATAAAATAACGTGTCAATGTCCGTATTCGAACTTTTAGTACAATGTATATCTAAATTTACTTGGCAAACACATTGTTAGCTGCACTATAACGAAGACGGTGATGTTTTGATTACGGTGGTTTCTCGCTTATAACTTTACAGTATACGTTCAATGATTCTTGCTTGTAAGGGTGTGCCCCGTTTTACTAATATTGAGCCACCGGTCAAAAATGTTTGGTCTAATATTCATCATCCTGTGCAAAGATCGTATGAAATTTGAGCACTGGAAACTTATCTAAAGATGAACCGGAACTTTTTATTCCAATACTCAATTGGCTGAGGTAGAGCATTTGGAGTTATTTTATATGTTCTTACATATAGTTTATGTCGAAGTTCTGTGTGAATCAACTATATCTAAGGTTTTTGTGATCTCTAAAAGCTATCGCGTTAACTGATCGTATAACTGATGAGTTTGGTGCAACTTCCGGGAAAGACGACGAAAAATATTCCTGGATGTCATGTCCCTGTGAAACAACTTGAGTAATATCAAATATTTGCGCGTCCGGCTTAACAGCGATATTCTGTATGAATAGCAGTGGCACAAGTCGTTTACAAATTGTAAACATCTGTCAGAGATGAAGCATGCCCAATATGGTCAAAACTGTGTAGCAGAGTCACTGGGAAGGCATTCTTAGTAGTGGTCATAGACGATAGTATACGTTAGTTGGAACGAAGCAGGCGCTTGAGATCGTATCAGGAAAAAATAATCTGATGGCGATTGTAAAAATTATGCCTATAGTTTAATGCGTTGTTTGACCTTCGATGATTGTTTTTTTCTTTCTTTTTGTGTACAAAGGGGACTAAGGTGCTAAGATCTTACGCCATTAAGGGATGATAAGTCGCTTTTGACAGACTGTTAAAAAACGCTGGGATATATTTGGAGCTGTAACTTCATTAGGTTACAGGATCTAAATGTGCTATCCTCAGGCAAACCTGTTGATCAGTGGTATATCAATACGTTCCCCATTTCATTATGCATCATTTCTTATATATATACGTCCATTTCCTGGTTACTAATAATTAATTCGACTATATTTATATAATAAGGTGGTTAAGTGATTTTTTTTCTTACTTTAGCCTCCTATTGCCCTAGTCCTTATTGCCAATTGGAGCAACTCTTCCAGTTTCCTACCTTTCAACCCAGTTTTTGTGGCTTCTAGCGAGAATTTTTAAATACTTTGAAGATTTAAGCATGCTAACATCAAATATTTATGGTGAATTTGGATCTAATCTTTGAAATGTAGAGTAAGAGCCTCTGCTACACAAAACAATCTGTGTTTACTCGAAATTTTCGTCACGCGACCTTAACGATTTCTGTGGATGGAGTAATGTACAAACGTTCGATTTTTTTCAGAGCAAGATAAAATTCAGTAAACGAAGCATTGTCAGTGAGATAATTAAGCGCTGATACTCATTTTATAGTATACAACTCTGACAATTATGTAACTGGTAGGGAATACTGTTTTATTTTGGAAATACGCGCATTTTGAGAAATGTCTAGTTTTACTTTCAGCATTTATTTCGATCAGTTCATCAATTTTAATTACTATTAACATGACAGATAATTAAAAAAAATGTAATTTATCGCTCTAATTTTTTTACTTTGAAAAATGTAACGCAAAATTTTATAATATAGCTGAAGACCTAAAAGTATTAGTGTAAATCTAAGAGTTTGCCGTTTCATTTGATACTACCTAATCGCGCTGGCATAATGCTGAAACAAGGCTTACTTTTAGAAGATACTAATGTAACAATTGGTACCTTAGTGGATCCAAGAAACAATTAATATTTTGAATAGGTCGATATAACAACATTTTGCTTGTTGATAACAAAAAGAGTGCCTAAATCAGTGACCGTCAACCGTAAAATATGCTTGATATAGACCATAGACAAGCGATACTTTTTCTTGGAGAGTCAGATAATTTCTGCGTATTTCTGTTTCTAATTAATATTCGAATAGGGCTCAGGCTACGAGGCCAAGTAATAGTATTGCTTCTTCGACTATGGACCGTGGGGGTCACTTGATTAGACGGGTGGGGGGAAGTAACACATTCTTAACGGAGATCTTTGTAGTGAAGAACCAATATAACAGTTACAGACGGGTCTATTTCGCGTGCGCTTCAGCTGATGTAAATGAAAGCGAGAAGCTAGAGAATAACCGAATAAAGTATTTCTATGTTAAAGCATTTGTGTGACTGTTGCAAATTTTATGGTGCAAAGTTGAGAATGATACGGAGAGCGTGACCTTGCACACGAAGCGAAAAAAATTGCCTCTACTAGGTACTTAGGGTCACGAGCTGCGAAAGGGTGGGTTGCTTTGTCACTACGACTGTCTGGCCTAGACAGGTTTTTTGAATAAAAAGGCGAAAAGTTTTGTTTACAGAACTTCCTCAACTTCTCGAAATTTCTTTTATCTGGAAGCCGTTCCATTAAAATAGTTTTCATTTTTAAGTATTCGATGTTTGCAAAACATGTAGATCTTTTTTCGTGTGAATCAAACATGGGTTATGGCTAAAAGTCGTCAGATAGAGAAATTTAATGATATCAGCAGATATATTATGAAAAAAGCGTAATTTTCAAATTTTTGTAAAGTATTCGATTGGGTTAAGGGATGATTCTACAGCTGAAGCTTCGATCAGTATGTTTCTAGCATCGTTGGCATTTGATAGGTATAAGATAAAAAAGCAAAACGTCAGCGTTAGGCAAGTATTTTGAGGCCTCGAACCATGATGGAATATTTCTTAAAAAGGTTGACTTTTAAGTTGTAAGATTAAACAGGACAAATGAGGATCTTCATTATTTATGTATATTACTAGCAATTATTTTTAATTAGCTGAACTGAAATCGAGATAACCAGAAGGAGCAAGTTCTCCCGTACATAATACTTTCTCAATCGAGGCAGTACTTCTCGCGTAGTCACACATTTCCTGAGTTGATACCTGTCTACCTATTAAAAGCTTTGCAACTAGTTAAAAATTCAGTTCAGGAGCTATAACTGCGTGATTTTTTCTCTTCCCTCCAGTGAAAGTCACGTTTATTTCAGCTTAAGTCTGCAATATCTAAAAAAATCAATAGCCTAAACAGGGATATAGTCACAGCTATTAAAAAGTATCGTCGTAAATTGTGATCATTATATGATAGTAGAGTTTACACGTATGAATTATATAAAAAATACAGACTATAACTTATTATACAATCTTGAGACGTCTCACAGCTTACAATCCTATTCATTACGTAGACTTACTTGCAGCTCATTCGAAGCCAACCCTTCCAATTTTAGATCTCTTTTATATATATATATTAGATACCAACAATTAGGACAAATCCATTAATTTATTCCAAATACCCGATCTATTGCATCATATCCATTTATATAAAAATACTTGCAACACTTTGATATCCGGTCTTTTTAGCTCAGTGTGTTTTTCTATCTACTTATCGTATGATACCGTAAATGACAATATTGCATTGACTTTTTTGTGGATCTGCGCGGGACATACAGGCGGTTAACGAAGTTTTTCCCACTCTAATGAAAAAAGTTCGTTTCCTGCCATAGAGTGCAATGAGGCTAATATGGTTGGTCACAAACCCAGAGCAGCAAGCTCTTCCATGCTTAAGAACAATACCGCACCAATAAAGCGGCCACGCGCGTTGTCGGTGCTAATACGTTACTAAAATTTTGTTACGTGATCAACATGTGTTGCATAACAAACTATATCTAAACTGTGTTGTGGAAACAGCTACTGGGTTATAGCTATTAGTAAGTAGCTATCCCACGTTGCCTTTATTATAAATGCGTGTGGCTTTTTATTGCTACGCAAGTAAAATAAAATTCGTTTGATAGTGAAACAAAGCCCACGGGTTGTTCTTTTCAGCTATGGGCTTCGCTCTCTGGAAGCTTAAGGCGAAGCTATGTCTGTCTATCACTTTCATTAATTCTTTATTCTATGAACCCTTTATAATTATGAACTCAGTGACGTTACTTTGATTCGATACTAGCTTTGGGTTGGTTTTACTTACTTTATTTTGAATTTTAACTTCCATCACACTGGTACCCATTATTAGTTTGCTCATTAATCTGTCCAACTTATGTATGTTTTTTTCTTTAAAATTGATATTTTTCAAGCAGAATCGGACTACTCGACTCGACTTTAAAATGTAGATTTTTTAAGTAAAAAAAAAATTGAATTTTAATATATATTTTTCGAATATATGTTCATATGTATCCATCATCATCTGAATGTTAACCAGCTGGGTTTTGTATGTTGAAGGCAAAATACATCTAAGTGAGTATTTGTTTCATCTTTGTTTTCCTCTTATTTCCTATTCAATTTACTTGAATATTCATTGTTATTCTTTTTTATTAGTTGATCTGTGAATAAAAGCATAATTGCCTGAACAGCAGAGAACCCGGCCGATGCAAGGCATAAGAGCGCTAATGTAAGACGTGTCATTTATAGT